AATATCTTTTACACTAATGCGAAACGGGTTGGATCTAGTTTAATATGTTTTCTTGCAACGTGTTCGATTCGTTTTTAAGCAATATAAAACAATTAGTAGAAATTGGAAATAAGACATCAGGTGAAAAATATAATGAACACGGTGAACCCCAGGGTTCAGTACTTGAGCCGATTTCATTTCTGATATACAGTAATGGACAAAAGTATATAGACAAATATGAATATTTACCTAAATACCTTTAGAAAACGAATTCATACCTCATTGCTCCATAAACAAATGCGTTATTAGTAGAAAAACTAAATTCCTTGTTTTTACGTTATCTGCAATGAACACAATACAAGTCTGAATATAAGCACTCTTTTATGAGGGACAAAAATATGTAGACAAATTCTTTTCATCATTAGTTTAGTACAGTTTCGTGTCAGAACAGGATTAGTTTGTGTTCACCAAGTGGAATAAGTTCAGTGATTTTAAGATCATTGAGTTATACAAAGATGGTCAACGTCAAGTCGACATTGCCAAAAATTTGAAGCTGAAGCGCAAAGCAGTTTGGGCAATATTGAACAAATATAAACAAAAAGGTATCTTGGAAGCCTCTAAGAGAAGTGGTTGGCCTAGAAAACTAAATGCTAGATCAGTTAGATTAATAAAAGTAATTTTGTCCAAAAATCCGTTTAAAACACCAGGACAAATAAAAGCCGAAATCGAGACAAAAGGAATTGTCAGTGTTTCTACGAAAACTATAATTAGAAGATTAAATGATTTGAAGTTATTTGCACGTCGCCCGAGTAAGAAGCCGCTAATCTCGAGGAAAAACCGTAAAGGACCGATTACAGTTTGCACGGTTGCATCTTGATTGGAGCATCTGTGACTGGCAGAGGGTATGTTTCAGTGAGGAATCCAACTTCAATATGTTTGGATCAGATGGTGTTCATTACGTTAGACGTCCTAGAGGGCAAAGATTGAACCCCAAGTACACTTTGCCCACTGTCAGACATGGAGGTGGGTCTGTTATGGTCTGGGGGTGCTTTTTAGAATAGATGGCATTATGGATAAATTAGACATATATATATAATACCCTATATGGAAGACAATATGCCCTTAAGATCAATCTTCCAGCAAGATAATGACCCGAAGCACACTTCAAATCTCGCAAAGAAATTCTTTCTAGATGAAAAACTACCAGTTCTCACACAGTCTCCCGATATAAACCCCATTGAAAATCTGTGGGAATACTTCGATAAGCAAATACGAGATAAAAATTATTCAAACGAGGATAAAATGTTTGCCGCTTTAGAGCAAAAGTGGAGACAGATTGACGAATCTTATATCAAGAAACTTCTACAATCTATGCCGAGACAATGCCAGGCGGTGATTGATAATAATGGTTATGCTACAAAATTTTAACACAAAAAATGGTTGGCTTTCTATAATTCAATGAACTTTGCTTCTTTTTTCTATAATTGTTTTGCTTTGTCTATATATTTTTGTCCTTCATAATTCCAGTTTCTTTCAATTAATTTTTATTGAAGGGAGTCTAATGAATTTATTTATGTATAAGCGAGTATTATGCTATAACGAATTATGTATACTGGTTGGTGTATTAATAAATCAAGTTAAAAAAGAAATACAGCACAATATTAATTTGTCTATATACTTTTGTCCATTACTGTACGTCACTGTTTTGCCGAACCACAATTATGAAAACTATATACTATTTGCTGATGATGCTACAATCTCTGTTAGATCTAAAAATAAGGTGTTTTTTCAAAGTTGAATCATTTATTTTAACAGCTTGTAGAACTCGTCAAAAATCACCTATACAGGGTGTCCGCAAAGTTGGGGTTTTCCTTTACACGACGTGTAGATCTTGAAAACATAAGCAATTTTTCTTAGTACCATATACACCAATGTCTTAAGGGAACCGAGATAAAGGGCTCTGCAACATCAAAAATATCTGAATACCGTCCTGTAGCCGCGACATCCCGAATGGTACTAGGACACTAGCTCAACCCGACGACAGAACTGGGTCGGGGTCAGTGTGTCAGGTCAGTATGCAACCTTCAACCGACGGTTACGGTCACGCGTCTAGAGGTAAACGAACCCATATAATCGATTGCGTTTCAAAAAACAACAAGCACTAGAGACATGGCTAGAGAAGTGCAAGTATCAAAAACTAAAGTGTGGCAAACGCTGCGTGAAGAGGGGCTGTATCCGTTTCACGTCCAACGTGTACAAGACCTTCAACCTGACGATTTTCCAGCAAGAGTGCGGTTTTGTGAGTGGTTGTTGCATCAACACGACAATAATCCGGACTTTTTGAAGTGCATATTGGTGACAGACGAATCTACGTTCACGCGTAATGGGGTGAATAACTTTCGCAACACTCATCTTTGGTCATTACGCGACATTTGCCTTCCTTGTTGCCTGCGTCTGCTCGGTAGCGCATCAGCTGATTTCATTTTCTGTTGGAGCGGTATGATTTCGGGCAGAGACGTACTTAGCCCTTGTCGTCAACTGGAGAGTGAGTACTTTTTCCTTTATTTTTTTACTTTGTCGTCCTCGTTTCACTACACATTACCTTTGTTATTTCAAGGGTAGTTGTTTCTGAAAAGGAAAACCCCAACTTTGCGGACACCCTGTATAAAAGATGCATAATAAGAGAGTTAGCTTACATCATAAAAATTATTTTAAAAAATTCATCACTTTAAATGGATAACGTTTTACAAAAAGTGTTCAAAATTATCCCGTTTGTTCGATTAACGCAAAATCGTGCTCGGCGAATCCACGACTCTTTACAAGATTTGAAAATAAAATCCTGGTGTCCAAGAATTGAATCACAAACAATTTGAGTGCGCTGTTGAAGTTTTTCCAGAGTATTTACCGCTCCATCATGATACACCAACTCTTGCATATAGCCCCACAGAAAAAAAACGCAAGACGTTAAATCCGGGAAGCGAGCAGGCCAACGAATGGGTCCATTGCGCCCTATCCATCTATTCGGAAACTCATTATTTAGATGTGTGGTCGAAATTATCAAAAATCTGCGTAATAACATTCTTATTTTTTTAAATTTTTAATCTTTTATTATCTATTTTATTATAAAAATAAATTTTGTTACACAGTGACGTATGTAAGTACTGTATGTACATTACCACCAATAAAGTATTAGATTATTATTATATCCCACTTCAGTTGGCCCATCTATTGAAATCTTAGTTTTTTTCTTATCAAACACAAATAATAAAAATGTAGCAGGGTGTTATAGGTTTAAAATATTAACAATGAATATTTTGATAATATATAGTAGAAAACACCAACTTTATCACACCCTAATCAAATTTGCAGCATAAAAATAACACATGTTGCAATTACAGCATATCAACCTATTTTCATTTCAATGCAAATAAGTCTATAACGCATAGGTGGCTGTGAAAAATAAAAGCCATGACAATTGTTTTTATTAACCACAGCTGTCAGAATACGTTTAAAATAGTTTTGGGTTGTTCAGGTTTTCAAAACGGGTAGAGGAAAGGTTATTAGTGAGAAAATTTGGTTACTGATAATTAAATTTTTTAATTCTGGGAAATCAAACTCAGAAATTGCAACTTTGTTAGACTTATCGCGGTACAGTGTGAGAAATATTGTTAGAAGATATAACGTAACTGGTTCAGTTAATATTAAGCCACGATATGTGAAGAAAAGTAATATCACAAATGCAGCATTAAGAAGAATAGTCATGAAAAACAGGCATGCGAATTATTTACAATTAAGTGCTCTGTGGAGTGACGCTGTTGGAATGAGAATTTCGAGGTCCATAACTGATAGAGAGGCCCACGAACTGGGATTTAGCACTTGCAAGTTTCCTTATAAAAAAAAGTGAAGTAAAAACCCTAAAGTTGCACAACTTGTTTATAGGCCAAAGAAAAGCCACTATTAACTCCACTGCAAAAGAAAAAATCGGCTTAGATGGGCTAAAGAACATAGACAATGGACACCTGAACAATGGTGTGCAATACAATGGAGTGATGAGGCCCGATTCGAAGTTTGTGTTGGTGACAGTCGCAGTAGAGTTATTCGCAAAAAAATGAAGCATTCCATGTTGACTGTCTGAAGAGAAAAGTGAAATTTCTAGCATCCATTATGGTCTGGGGCAGTATGTTATCAAAAGGAGTAGGAAAACTTCATTTTATTGATGGAAATGTGGATACAAACAAATATTTGACAATTTTAGAAGAATCGCTTTACCAGTGATGGAAGAATGTTTGACACCCGGCCAAGATTTTGTGTTTCAGCAAGATGCCATACCTCAAAAAATGCTATAAAATGGATGGAAGAAAATAATGTACCACCTTTGAAATGGGTTTTCTAGCAGTCCAGATCTGTCACCTATTGAAACTTTGTGGCACGAGATGAAAAGGTTCTACGACAACATCCTGCTCGTACAATCACCAAACTGAGACAAAAGCTTCAAGAAATATGAGATTATTTTACACCAAATTTTGTCAAAACTTGGTTAACACTATGCCCCAAAGAATTTCAGCCGTATTAGAAAACAAAGGTGATGTTACCCAATGGTAATCTTTCAATTGTTGCTTTGTTAACTTCGCGCAGTTATTCGCACATTGTTTGTTTGTTCAGATGTTCCATTAGTTATAGGTCTAAGTGATTTCAAATATGTATTTTTTACGTCTAGAGTGTATCTAAAATGTTTTCTAGAAAATAAATTGTTTTAGAAGTAAATACGAGTAGTTTCGTCATGTTTAGTTTATAAAGGCATATTTTGGTACAAATCTTGAAGTGGGCCAACTGAAGTGGGAAGGGGCTCGTATTGTATTTTCATAGATATACTACAGTTTGAAAAATACATTATTCTCAGTGCATCACCATAAATTAGTGTCGAATTTTTAGATTTCAGACTTTATCTGCGAGGAAATCATCAATTCGGCTAACGCATACGTAAGATCCAAAACCGAGCAATACCTAATGTGGGACGTAAAATGGATGAAAACTTCCATCTGGTGCTCCAACTGCTTCAAGATAACTGCTCGATACTTGGCTACAAAATTTACACGTACGCGAGCACGATGCACAAGGTGCAAGTGTTAGCCAACCTGGACTTCAAAATCAGCGAAATCGCGCTCGTGATCGAGCTGCTAATCGTGGCTCACAATTGTTTTACCGCCGATTGCAATATGGAAGGCATCACCATCATTCTGAAGAAGTGTCAGAAGGTCATTGCACATCTGCTGACGCTAAGGAGTTGGAAGCTGATAGTTAGGCTGTTAACAGGTTAGTTGATCATGCGCAACTAGCAAAGTAGTGCTATATGCTTTTGGTAAAAGAAACGGTTCAGCCATAAAAGCTCTCTATTGTTGTTGCCTGAACACCAAAATGCTGGGTTAATGTGGTGTGGAATGCAAATTTGCTTTAGCATAGTTATACAAAATCTTATAGGACAAATTTTTAACTGTTGCATAAACGTTTATACAACTATTTTATACGGCATATTTGCACGTTGGTCAAAATGGTTGTGTTGTGACATCCATGGTAACGTTAATAAAACAAACCCGAGCTTTGTTGTTTTGCTTGCAAATTTACTACTTTAGAGCCGTTTACACACAAGAGAATTACTCCGAAAATTATGGTCATAATTATACTGAAAATTTGCATGGAAAAAATATTGAAGATTTTCTCTACAACCTGTATGACACAAGCAAACAAAATTTCGGAGTAATTCATATGATACGCCTGCGCATTAGAGTTATATTTTCAAATGGACATAACCTTAACGGGTATGACGTCCAATATAATCGGAAAGACAACAGACGTCGATAATTTAAATTCATTTTTGAAATCGAGATATTGGTTAATATTATAAAACTTCTCAATGCTTGGACTATGGCATCCAGCGCGTGACGCCGCAAATTCTGTTTTTGTAATTGGGTGACTTCACCTTGTACAGGTTTGGCCATTTTTGGTACTCCTCCAACAACATTGTAAATTCTTCCCGATTCCACGACATTATGAATACACAATAACAATAAACGCTCCTTCGTACGACTCGAACAGGACCACTCCCACAAATGTTAAGTGAGGTTATGTTGTTGTTGTTGTCGTTGACATTTGATATTGACATGCACGGAAATAACCCTCTGCGCCGATTCTCGCGCATATAATATAGAACGGGTTTATATTTTTACCATGAAAATTTTCACAAGAATTCTTTTACGTGTAATACGACAGCAAAAATTTTCAGCATAATTATGACCATAATTTTCGGAGTAATTCTCTTGTGTGTAAAACGGCTCTTAGCCAACAAATTGTTCCTAACGGAAGCACTTATACAACTGTTGTTTAGTAACTGTTAAAAGCTGTACATATTATATAATATACAATATTACAACTTTTGTAGTACAAAATTGCTGTGCTCGGCATACATTTGTTGCTAATATATTGGCATACAACTTCACCATAAGCTAGCTTTCTGCTGTCATATATTTGTTAAAATGCCATAACCAATGTTTTAAGACAAACAACGCATGCATATTGGTTCAAAGGTTTTATCAACTGTTCAAACAGAAGATATAGATCTGGTACAAATTCCGCATAAATCATTCGATTTTGTCGGTATTTCATTTCAGACATTTGTCAAATTGTTGTATAACACCTGCAGGCAACACCAAAATATTCTAATAAACTAAAGACAACATGGACAATGCCGTGATTATATACAACCACCCTCCATATTGGGCAAACATTTATTCCTCTATTTAATATTAAATAATTATGTTTCAGTTCGAAATTACAGATATAAAGTGATGAACATTAGTGCAATTGTGTCTAAATACAGGATTTGTGGAAGATTTAACGCAGATAAGTTCAGTTTTCCATCTTAAAAATCTAGACATCCTTTTGATCATTATTAAATATGAATCAATACGAAGCCCCTAGAATTTGCGTAACTACTTTGCACGATAATCACAATAAAAATTTGCTGCGCAAGTATTTCAATAGCCCTATATCACAGTGTAGACATTTATCACATACCTGTGTATGAAATTCACAATGGCCGATATGTAAGTAAACAAGATGACTGTAATGTGTTAGTTTATATATACTTTACTTCGTCTATACAATAGTTTGGTTGCAACAAAGTAGAATCACGTAACATAATAGTTGCATAGTTGACAAAAACTGAATCTTGCACTGACGCAAATGTACTATAGCGGCTGCAGAGGCTTACACTTTTGTTGTATAACTGTTACCTGCAGCCGTTATACAATCTCTTAAATGACTGAAGTGTCCTATTAGGTGTGCCCATTCCGCTTGAACAGCTGTTCTAAGAGGGTTTTGCCAATGTTCTAACAGTATACAATGCTGTGTAAGGAATACTGTATAATCATTCTTGCAACTCTAATAGGAGTGATAATTGTTAGTGGGTGGAATGTTTTAATATTCTAGAAATTAATGCCGCCACTCCCTAAACCTGCTAGACCAACTCACCAGGCTTTCGCATCACATTCTAATCACACGCTTACTGGCGAGGAAGTATTGTAATCGTGAAAACTTCGAAAATGAGATATGTTTTTGGGAGTTATAAGACATGTACATCACGATAAAAACATGCCGCTCATTTCCATCGGTCAGTCTGTCTGTCGGCTAATCCATGGCCCGTCTATATTTGAGAAATATTGCTCCGATTTTGATGAATTTTCACACAAGGTTACTACTATTGCCAAGGATGTATAGTCTGAACATGAAATAAGTAAAATAGCGCAAACTTCGTTTTTTTGACGTCTCAGAGGCTCCTGATCATTTTCAGAATAAAATCTACAGGGTTGAAAATCGAGGATTCCTGGTATATCAAGGACGAAAAAGCTTTGTAGTTTTTTGGAAAACGAACCAGTGGCGCCGGAGAAAAAGGCCAGAAGCGAAAAAATTAAAATCGCTCAAACCTAACTTTGGAGGTTTCAGAGGATCCTGATCATTTTTTAAAACATTTTAGGGGTGGGGGAGAATTTTTATGCACGCAACCTCGGTTAGTTAGGTGCACCTATTAGACATATTCACACATGAACCTGTATGACTGACTTGATCCGTTTAATTTCCCTATTGTACATGTTCGTAACTAACTTTGTTCTCTGAGGATTTAAATTGGCACTGAACTCGATTATTTACGACCGACCCTGATGACGGCGTTGCCTAGAAAGTGCAGAGTCAACCTACTCGACGTCATTTTTGACATAACTCGTACCCCCTTCCCCCTGCTCTTCACGTTTGCTGCGTTATCCTTTTCGTTTTTATTTCTTTGTTGAAGATTTATTTAGCATTAATGCTACAATGTCAATTTTGTAAAATTATTCGTTTATACATTTTTTTGAATCCATTTTCTGTAATTTTACGTTCTATTAAAATTACACCACTACGTATTTTGAGTATTCATAAAGTGATTATTTATATTCACCTTAAACATTTTTAATTTCGAACACTGTTTAACATCATTATTCGATTTATTAAAGTTTTAAACACAGATTTGCTAGTTATTCTATTACAATTTTGCAGATGAAAAAACTATACTGCACTCTAGTTTCGTAGTTGCGATAATGACTATTTAATTTTGTGATGTTTACTTAATGCGTGGCAATAAATGATTTTTAATTTGAATAGTGAAATGTGAAGTAAATAACATATGCATTTTTTTTACATTCAACCACTTTAGCTCTTCTAACATAGACTTAATCCTAGCATTTTGTTTTTTAATTAAAATGATTCTCGTAGCCATATTTTTGTAGAATTTTTTAATTTTGAAAATACATTTTCATTTGCTATAAACAAGATGGTTGAAACAATATTAAAAATGGAAAGAACTATAGTGTCATACACAATTTTTTTGGAATACATATTAAGATTATGGGAAACTCTATACAAGTAATTTATCTTTTTTGATATTTTGAATATCGATATCGATTGTATGATTCGAATACTTCATTTTTTCGTCATTAATCGTGAGCCTGATTGTATTGTCACCTAAATATTTTCCTATTGACATACGTTTTGTTTCATTAGTGTTTAATTTATGTTTATAACATCTAACCCATTCATATTTCTACTACCACAATTTAACAGTTCTAAAGCAGTGTCCAAATGTTTATGTGCTATATATATCTGTACCTCAGAGCCAGACTAGGTTAAGTCCTTTTTTAATAATATTGTGAATTTTCATTTGCTACTTGCAGCGTCCATCTATCTGTAATAATAAGGAAGTTACGGACTTTTTAACTCAAGACAAGTCGCGATACAATACAAGAAAAGTATTCAAATTCAATTATCTCAAAACTACTTATTTGGACTTAACCTTGTCTAGCTCTGATGTACAGCTTATATATCAATGTATCGTCCGCAAAATATTTGAATTTTGCACTGTTTAGGCCCCGTATCGTCCGGTCGTCCCTACAAATTGGTAGGGCGCGGGGATGGCCTCCGTTGATGGTCATACTCCTTTCGCTCCATCAAAAAATTGCTAGATTACACTTGTCCCGTGTCATGCGTCAGCCCTCTCCTATTGTGAAGATATATTTTCTTTTTAAATTGTAGGAAATTTCAGGCTGATATAAACATGATAACTCAAAAGCACGCACCATGTGATGGGCAAATGAAGTGTTAGACATAGAACCTCAAATATAGCGCTGACCCGGAGAAGTAGAAACTATGCAATCAAGAAGGCATAATGTGCCCTACAATAATTTGTAGGATGACTGACGATAAAGGCCTAAAATATCAGAGATGTTATTTATATAAATAATATATAGTACGGTCCTAATTTATTCCCCGGGTGGCAAACCCTACTGATATATTCTGAATAACTTGACATAATATTTCCAACTTAGTTTATGTTCCTTCTATTTACTAAATAATTTTGTAAAATGTTTAATACTGATCCTTTAAAACCATAGTGATGCAATTTCATTAACAATTTTTCCCTATCTATAGTCTCAAATGCCTTTGAAGTAGTTTCAATACATTCTTACTCCTCTATTATACTTCTTCTTCCACCACCATTTGGATTGGCTGTGTTCTGTAGCATATTTTTCTAAATCCAGCTTGATTTTTTGTCAGAATTTTGTATTTCTTCAATGAGTTCAATGATTTGTTCGTATATTATGAACAGCTTCCCGACATCTGGCAAGACATATTAGTCAGACGCATATTTGTATGTAGCTCAGAATGTTGAACTTTTGACAGGAGTCATGGTGGAACACTTTAATTTTGATGGGAATTCAGTATGTACTAAACAGTGATTCACCAATAATAATAATATTAATTTAATAAAATTAATAATTTCTCTAGAATCTTTTTTGAGAGATTCTCACTTAGATTTTTATTAGATTTCAATCTGAGATAGCTTTTCTTAGATTGTTGATGTTTATTGTCCTAAATTGATTCATTTATGAATTATGCTATACTTTTAATGAACACAGTATCACAGTACGCAAGACAAAAAAGACACAAACACTCATTATAAAAATCTCTGCCACTGACGATACCAATATGTTGTTTCCATATTTCAGGTGTGGGCAGATATACGGAAATGAATTACGTTTTCCAAATTCTTCGAGAAAATGACCAATTCGAATTTCTCCTAAGGAAGGTTCCAGAAAAGACAGTGCCCTGAAAACAGCACTGTTAGAATACCTGAAGAAGTACTGCCCCGATAATAGGGATCTATACAAAATCGTGGCGCTACACTTCACCCTGTTTTCGGAAGTAGCGTTATTGTGGGAAAGGGAGGCGCAAAGTGTCATCAGGAATTTAATCGCTATTTCGAAATTAGAGATGCAGAATAATAAGCTGAATCCTGACATTGAGCCATACATTTTGTTTACAAATACGGACGGCACGAAAATATGCCTGAATAAGGTAGGTTGTGACCTGTTTTGTGTATGCTTCACGCAGAATATTTCAAAAATTACATACTGCGACATTGTGTATCATCCGTATTTAGATTCATTATCTGTCAAGCGTTTGCAAAAAATTCAAAATGCATGTGCAGATTAATCTCTAACTTGAAAAAATATGACCACCTACCTCCTCATAAAATTGGAATAGGTATCTATACCTAATCTATTCAAATTCATTTACTGTTATATTCATAAGCTTTTACTTATCTCAATTCCTCCATTTTTGAAGGACAAGTTAAAATTTCGAGGTACCTATGCACTCGCGAGATATTTGCTTTATTGATACAATCACAATGCCTCCTCACAGAACTTCATTTTTTAATAAATATTTTACTTATAGTGCTACTATCATGTATATATCTCTGATACTAAAGCTTTAAAAAGTATTAAAAAAAATCATTTGGTGCTATCATTGACATAAATTTATCTATCACTTCTGCTTATAAATATGTATTACATCATTCTATAATGTGGACTGTTCTACTTTTATCCAATCTTGATTTATTTTACTCAATCAATTCATTTTTAAGTTGACGCCTCTGCATTTTTAGAGGTATATATTGTTTTTATTGTTTATTTTATGGATAGACATTTTGCGGATTAAAGGGTAGAATAGCTTATGCTAAACTCGCCCAATGAGATTTTATTTTATTATAAATAGACAATTTAAGTAGCAAAAATAGTATTTTCATATCACTAAGTGTTTATAGTAAACGCATTTCAAATATATTATCATCCATGCATAGGTACTGCTAGAATTCCAGATAAAATTAAATCTATGAAAAATACAAAATCTGTAGAAAAAAACACAGCAGTCAGAGACGCTTTTCTAAATTTCATTGGGTTATTTGAAAGTGGAATTTACAGAATTTAACTCTACAGTTCAGTCAAAATGTCAAACTATTTCTGGAAAACGTCAGAATTTCCTTGACAAAACTTTGCAGTCTCATAACAAGTGGCAGATGTAATATGGTTTTTTTACGCATGAAAATGCTATTCCTAGAATATTTCAATGGACGTTATTCATTTCGCGCATGTTTTTCATTAATACCAATAGTCTATCATATTAGACGAAAATATCTCTGGTTTGCGAAATATTTCTCAAGTCTGGTTTTATTGCTGCAGGTTGTTCAAGGAGGTATTCAAAACCTGTGGTTTTTACAGTTTCAAAGTCGAAAGCTATACTAAGTGACATATAAATCCGAACACCCAGTTTAAATGGTTTTATTTTAATAAAAGTTGGTGAAGTATTTATCTTACTGTAAATAACAAGTGAAAAAATTTTCAGCCTTATCAGTTGGACATTCCGGTTTTTATACTGCTTTTTTTTAATTCACTAAAAATGAATATTTCAGCCGCAGTAAAGAATCAACGCTGGCGGATTTTGGTTCTTGACATCCTTTATGATCGGTTCGATGCCTAGAGTACGGAGACCTGTACGATTTCGTCAACTTAGTCAGTTTGATAGGGGCCGTATAGTGGACTTCGGGAAGCTGGACTTCTTTTCGGGCAATTGCAGTTAGAGTGCAAAGAAGTGTAGACACTGTGGTTAGGTGTTGTCAGGCATGGCTCGAGAAGGCCGTATGCAAAGAGCAAGGGGCACTGGACGCCGTCGTAGAACAACAGACCGTGAAGATCGCCGCCTAAGATTATTGGCCTTAAGGGACCGTTTCTCCACTACCAGGTCCATTGCAAATGAATGGTTTGCAGAACACGGAAGACCTAATCCACAGTTTTTTGTTGAAAGACATGTTCATCACACTGTTGGAGTTATGGTTTGGGGTGCTATAGCTTATGGTTCCAGGTCACCTTTAATCTTCATCAGAGGTAACATGAACGCGCAGCGTTATATCCACGAAGTTCTAGAAACCCATCTTTTACCCTATCTTGACACCCTGGCAGATCCAACTTTCCAACAAGATAATGCCCGACCACATGTTGCAAGAGTCACAATAGACTTCTTTCAACATAATGATGTCACATTGTTACCATGGCCACCAAGATCTCTTGACTTATCCCCAATTGAGCACGTGTGTGATATGATGGGTAGGAGATTGCTCAATTTGCAACGTCCTCCTCAGACTCTAGAAGCACTTCGAGAGGAGTTGGTGGTTGCCTGGAATGAGATACCACAGGAGGACATTGACCACCTGATCAAAAGCATGCCTAGGCGCGTTGGAGAATGCGTAGCACATCAGGGTGCATCCACACATTATTAAGGTCAAAGGGCTTTAAAGCAGTGCAATCATTTTGAAATTTTTATCATTCACTTATTATGCTCATTAAGTACTTATACAAAATTTTATTAAAATAAAACCATTTAAACTGGGTGTTCGGATTTATATGTCACTTAGTATATTTTAGGACACAGTCAGTAAAACTGTTTCTAGTGATATATTTTTTGACTTTCTCAATGTCTGTTGTTTTTTTTTTCAATATTCTAATTCATCGTGAAATCTCTGCATATCTTCTGAAACCGTTTTGCAATTTGCAAGACCATTACATGCAAGGTCTTGCAGTTGCAAGAGGCCCTGTTAGCTCGATTCAAACGAATAAGTTTATCCAACCTAAATAAATGAAATATTCACTGTCACATTCAAAACCTATAATTTTCGTTCTGGTTTTTAACCCTTCCGAACACATAGTTTTAATATCCAAAAACTAGTTTGAATCGCCGAACATGCAACATCAAAACACGATCAAACATACTATATATCTGTAAAGAATTAAATATAACCATACAAACCATCGGGCCAGCCTAGGGACATTTGCATGTATTGGTAACTTGCAAGTTACTAGCTATTCCACTAGAATTGTAGACAAACTTGCATGAAAAATCGAACTGATTGATTTTCTTGCAAGACCCCAGCAGCAGTGGCGGCTCGTGGCAAAATAAAACAGGTGTTCTGCAAATCCGAACTTACCTATTTTTTATATGTCAGTTCGATCCTGCGCTCCTTCTTGGCAGCAAATTTGTCGATCACCTACCCGTTGAAATTTTCCATGGTCGAAATAAATTCCTTTTCAATGGACAGCATCGACAACGCTGTAAGGCGATCCTGGGTCATAGTATTACGAAGAAAAGTCTTGATTCTTTTCAATGTTTTGAGAATTTCACTCAGCCTCTGATGTTGACATAGGAGTTTGTAACAATAATTTCTAATAGCTTTTTTGTTTCTTTTAGTGTTTCAAAAGTGTATCAAAAATTTCAAAAGAGACAGAGTTCCATGTAAATCTCGGCAATCATTCCGTGTATAAATAACAGACAACTCTGTCTTTAAACGACTTTTTTCTAATTCGGGATAAGCCAAGCAGGTAGTTTCCAACTTGTCATCAGGAAACTTACCACAGTATTCTCCAAAGTGTTCGGGGAAAAAATATGTCTTGTGAGAGTATCAGCGTCACATTTTTCGGGATTCATATAATTCCAAAAACGTTCTACTGGTTCGCAGTTAAATACGTATCTGAGAATTGTTACCAGTTGGGTTTTCCCCGAAATGTCCGTTGTTTCATCTGCTATTATCGCCAAATACAAGACTTTGTTAATCTGTTTTATTATTTATTCATGACAAACTTCAAGAATACAATCCAATAGATCGTTTTGTATTTCTTTCGTAGATCTTTTAAATATTGAAGCATTTTTTATGTGTTCGCTTAAGGTTGTATCAAGCTCAGCAGAAAAATTAATCAGTCCACGAAATATTCCCGGGTTTTGGGAGCTCCGCATAATTTTATACCGAGCACCGACCGACCAATCAGATATCGTACTTCGCATTAGATCTGCACGGATCTATATAACGTGCAGCACATGCTTAGGCTTAAATCGCGCATTTAATTTGTAGAGAGAGACAAAAGCAAGCGCGTCGAAGTAGTGCACAGACCCTTTCAAGTGGCCCATGAATAATGTTACGCTGCGGTCGCGACGAAAGTACACAATTGGTCGATTATAATGCTTTCTCAATAACAAAACAGACTCGACGGCCGTGTCTTGCGGGGGCAGCGTTGCCGGTATTGTTTCTATTTGTGTGATAACATGGAAAATAAATAATGATCAAATTACTACTGCTTTTTCTGTTAAGACAATAGTTTTGGCAGTTCTGCAGCTCTGCAGAACTTAAGGGCCAGCCGCCCGTTGGCAGCAGTTGCAAGAAAATGACGGATACTACTAAAAATATTTTTTTTTCTCAGGCTATGGAGAACTACATCCATGCTACCGATTTCATCTACAAGGCGAAAACTGGCTAAAGCAATGCATTCTGCTAAGCAAGCTGAACTGATTGCACTTCAAATGTCTTTATTGAGAGGGTTAACATCCAATGGAACAGCCATCTGCTTATTGAACCTGAATCAGACGCAGATTTGCAGTTTGATTTCCGGAAACTTAGGGTACGCTTTATTAAAAATATATAAAAAATAAAAAACGTTAAAATGCCGGATTTTTAAACCGTCCGTCTAGTTTTACGTTACTTCTAGATAACTTTGTTATCATTCAAAGTTTCTCAACATCGGTTCAATAGTGCCTCAGAGATATAAAATTTCTCGTGTATAGATAAACCACTCTTTACTATCCATAAAAACTGAATTTAGAACTGTTTTATTTTCAAATATGCAAAGTTCTCCGTATCCTTTCACTATATTCATTTAAGTATGGAACAATATGTCATGCTCTTTAACGTGTTAAATATTACATTAAATCTCCACCGATGTGACATTAAAAGGATAGTGTAAAATAAATGAAATAATCATGTCACTCAATTACGTCGTCCTATTTGTCCTGTCTGTCAGTCTGTTCTTTAAACCTGTAGTACCGCTTAGATTTTGATGCAATTTTTCGCACAAGTTTGCTACTATGCCAAGAACGAAAAAGCTGTGTAGGCGCCCCCTGTAATCCGACATGTCTTTAATATTACATACTACGTATTTGACTAAATTCGCTAATGTAGATCACAAAGGTTTGAACAGGTTACAACTTGTACGCGCCAACCGCTATCGTGCTCGACGCGTAAGCATTGTTTTACTTAGTTTGAATTTGACTACTTGTGATAGCGGTACGGCCTAACGTGCGTTCACTGTTTACTATTTATTCATTGTGTATTAAGTATAGTACCTAGTAATGTCATCACTAACTCAGAAGCGAAAGCACAAAACGTTGACAATTAAAGAAAAATGTGATTATTTTAGACCGCTTAAATCGCAATGAAACTTCAGTAGTTTAGCAAGTGAATACGGCGTAGGCCGATCTACAATTTATGACATTAAAAGAAACCACGACAAGATCAAGAAGTTAGTGTCCACAACTGGCTGCGGGCCAGGCAAGAGACAGACACTCAAGAAAGCTGAACATCCAGAAGTGGAAGAAGCTTTGTACATGTGGTGTCTTCAGGAAAGAAATAGGCATGCACCAATTTCAGGACCCATGTTGGCCATGAAAGCTAAGTTTTTTCATAAAGAAATAACAAAAAAAGATGATTTTGTGGCCAGCAAAGGATGGCTAGAACGTTTTAAAAGTCGTCATGGCATACGTTTAATGACTATTACAGGAGAGAAACTTTCTAACGATGCCACCTACATAGAGCCCTTTAAATTAAGATTTTTGCAAAAGGTGAACGATTTAAATCTTGACGCGTCACAGGTGTACAATGCAGACGAATCAGGGCTTTTTTGCGTGTGATGCCTAACAAAACTTTCGTTTCTTGTAACGAAAAATCCGTACCTGGACGAAAAGTAAGTAAAGAGCGTGTAACCATACTACCATGTGCTAACACTGCGGGCACACACGCGCTTTAAATGATGGTCATTGGGAAATCTAATAAACCACGAGCATTCAAAAACATTGGTTTACCTGTACACTATTACTGACAAAAAAGTGCATGGATGAGAAGAGACCTTTTCAAAAAGTGGTTTCATGAATGCTTCGTACCTGAAGTTAGAAAATGGTTAAAATATCATAATTTTTCTCAAAAAGCGTTGTTGCTTCTTGATAACGCTCCCGGTCATCCGTCTGGAGAACTAACAACTGAGGACAAATGCATCACTGCGATGTTTCTTCCGCCAAACTGCACTACACTGATTCAACCAATGGTCCAGAATATCATTCAGTTTGTCAAGCAAGACTATAAGACAAACCTACTTCTGAGAGCCGTATCAAAAGACTAACCAATAGAAAAAACTTTAAAAGAATTTAGACTTGGTTTTTGCTCTTTGTCAGTCGTGGAATGCGTTACCGACATCAACTATTAAATCGTCTTGGAAAAAGTTATGGCCAGATATAGTCACCACTCCTAGCAACGTTCCACAAATCACTGTAACTTCGGAAATTATAGAACAAATCGCTACTGAAACACAGATAAGTCCGGAAGATTTGGAAATCTGGTGCCGTGGAATGGATAAAGAGGAAAATGTTTTTCATGAAATGTCTGACGAAGAGATTATAAAAGAGGTTTCTAATTATACAATAAACAATCAGGAAAATAACGACGACGTGATTGCAACTGCTCCACAAGTCACAGCACAAGACGCAATTAACGCCTTTGAGCTAGGTTTACAATGGGCTG